TAAGTGTTGGTGTCTGTATTTTAAAGTGATGTGAACAGAAGGGACCTAATATACTCTCTTACTGACTGTAAATCCATATTCATTATGTACTATTCATTTATTGTAGAAAGTTCGAGGATATCAACTCACAAAACAATCCTGTACTTGAATCTTCACCAAGGCCTCTGATATAATTTAAAAACACTCATGAAATTACATTAATAATTTTAAACTTAATGGCAGGAGACACAGACGCCAATACATTGTTATTGTCATGGTATCAATCCACCCTGGGGGGAAAAGCAGAAACCTCACAACTAGTTTACAATTGTTTTTCAGTAAAGTCTTTTTCCATTAAATACATAAAAAATGATTTCCAGAACTACTTTCTAACTTCTGGTAAAACTACTTACTTTGGAGAAACAGTAATCTTCAAGGTAAGATTAAATTTTATCATCTTTCCTCCCATTCGGATAAAGATATACTCTACTGTGCAATTTCTAAATCATGTTATTTCCTGGAAAGAGAATCTGTCTGAAAATTGTTTAATCTCCTTTATGAAATATACAAACACAAACACTGTTAGCTTTTTGGAAAGGTAGCAGTGGTGGCATGGCGCATGCGCAGAGTCCCAGCCTTGAGTGCTGCCGGAAATGCAAACGTGCTTAGTTGGCAGTGTTTTTCTCTTCTGCTCATGGCTAGGTTATTTTGTTCATTTTGTATGTTTTCCACTTACTAATATTTGACGATCGCTTGGCAGTTGAAATTTGGTATTAACATCTCAAAAAAGAAAAAAAACACCCCCAAACCCCAAAACCAAAACCAACCAAAAAAAACCCCAAAACCCCAGCCTAAACAGAAAAATCCTCAAATCCAAGTACAAATCACCCTTCTTGCCACAAAGTCATGCTGACTAGCAGAGATTCCATTTGCTGTAGAGCAGAACTGTGTTCATAAATTTTTCCTGGCTGTGATCTTTTAGGGGAGATCCTCAGTCATTGTTTCTGTGGTGCTACTGCATGGATTTGAACCGCCAGTCTGTAGATTAGCATACTATCCATTTTTTCCACCCAGGAACATTTAGTGCCTCAAACTTCTATTTTAAAACATTTTAAAAGTTAACCTTTTTCTTTTCTTTTACTCAGAAACAAGCCCTTCTGAGATTAGGAGTTCAATCTTTGCTGATCTTTGGGTGTTACTTCAAAGTATTTTAACAGGTTTTCTCATAGTAGCAGACATGTTATAGCGAGCTACACATAATGATAGCTACCAAAGAGATCATTTCCGCCGGAGCTTTCTGGGGTACAAAACACATGGCTGGCTCTTTGGTGGAATTGTAAATTGCAGCCAACTGTTTAATGACATAATGTGAATTTTTATAGGCTCATCTAATTCTACAACCCAATTGCTCTCTGGGCACTTGAGATAAATCTTCTCTCACTCTCTGGAACTGTTCAACACCTAGGTTAATTTCTCACTATTGATTTTTTTCTCCACTATGCATCTCGAATGCTTCAAAACATCTTGACCTACACAAAATATCTCTGTGACCCTCAGTTTAAAAAGAACACTTTTTTCAAAAGAATACTTGAAGAAAAATCAGTCATGACAATGATACTTTTCCCCAATTATTAGTAGGGCAGTTTAACTGGATTATTTAATTAAATTTGAAGGACAAGGCAAAATCATGAACATTGTCAAGAAGAGGTTTCATATACTAAAGTTTCTGAAAGTAAATTTTGCTGCTTACAGGGCTCCCCAATGAGGAAGAACATAAATTAGCGTTATCCCCAAACTACCCCAGGTAACAGGGAAGAGGTAACACAACACAGATAAGCAGATAAGACATTGGACTCATGAGCTATGGCCACAGATTATTTCTATCCTTTCTACGTTTTCATTCTTAATCTGCAAAAAAGCAGGAGATTGGGTTCTTAGCACCGTTACACTTTTAAACCCAATACTTCTATATCCAGGATTAACACAGTGATTGCCACAATGGGCTTGAACATGGTGGGTATTGTAAAGATGGCACAAAGCAGAGCATAGGGTTGCTATGAGCCAGAGTCAACTCAACAGCACCTAACAATTTACCTGTGATGAAGTATTGTTGTTAAGTGCCATTGAGTCAAGTATGACTCACAGCAACCATCTGAACAACAGGTCTGAACCGTGTTCTAACATGTGCCATCATTAACCTCTCTGACACACTTCTCCCCCGCCCCCAATTTTGCAGCCACTATATCAATCCATCTTGTTGAGGGTCTGTCATTCTTATGCTGACCGTCCACTTTTCCAAGCATAACATCTCTTTCCAAGGTATAGCCTATCCTAGCAACATGCTCAAAGTATGTGAGACAAAGCTTCACCAGCCTTGCTTCCAAAAAGCACCTCAGGTGCACTTTCTCAAAGACATCTTTTATTCTTTTAGTAGCCCATGGGATATTGAGTACTTTTCTCTGAACTATAACATAAAGGCATCAATTCCTCTTCTGTCATTCATATTCATTGTCTAGCTCTCAGATGCATAGGTGATTAGAAAGACTATGATTGGAATGAAAGTCATTTTATTCTTTAGTGTATCATCATTGTTCTTCAGGACTTAGAAAAGTCCCTGACAGCAGACTTTTCCATGTTATACATCTCTGTATCACCTGATTGTACCAAGCATGTTCATTGTGGATTCAAGCAAAGTGAAATGGTTAGCAATTTCAGTCTTCTCTCTAGATCTATCATGATGTTGCTTAAGGGTCCAGTAATAAGAATTTTTATCTTCTTTTTCAGATTTACGACAAAAACATTTTTGCTACAATAGACAATTTGAAGAAAATGCTCTACCACATGTACTGTACAGTTTTTACAAACATTGAAAAAATGTCATCACTGGATGTATTTACACAAAATCCAAATACACTTTTTCCTTATTTGAAATAAAATAGATGGACAGCCAGAAAAAGAATTCATTTCTTAATTGTCCATAATACACAGTAGCTACCTGTAGTGCAACCACTGCAGAAAGGGAAAATAACTTGGAGGGTGGGAATCATGAAAAGAGGTTGGGTAGCAATTTTTATATTAAATAAAACAATGATATTGTATAGATTTTGCTGTATGAAAACTATTTTTTTTCTTTTAATATAAAACTATTGTCACTGCCACAAAATAGAACAAGTTTCTGATTATTTTACAACAGCGGCAGAGGGGTGGGTGGGCGAGGGGTAGGGAGCAGAAGGTGGGTGGGAAGGGTTCTGTGTTGGAGGAAGTGTCCAGACCATCGGCCTCCCTCCCTGCCCTCGCTGTTCCTCAGCTCAGTTCTGCCGCTTTCCCATGAAATGTTGAGTACAAATATATATGCACATGCCCCCTAGAACTTGAGAAAAGAAAAAGGATTTTTAAAAACCAGTCAAAAGGATTTCTTCTTGATGTTGAGATACAATCATATTGAAGGCTGTAATCTTTGATCTTCTGCAGCAAGGTTTTCAAGGCTCCCTCACTTTCAGCAAGCACAGTTGTATCATCTGTATAGTGAAAGTTGTTGATGAGTCTTCCTCCAGTCCTGATACCACATTCTTCTTAATATAGTCTAGCTTCTGAAATAAATTTTTTCAGCATGTAGACTGAATAGATTTAGAGAAAAGGTAAAACCATGTTGTATACCTTTCCCAATTCCAAACCATGCAGTGTTCTTTTAGTCTGTTCAGATGACAGCTTCTTGGTCTAGGTTAAGGTTTTGTATAAGCATAATTAAGTGTTCTGAGATTCTCATTTTTGTCATATTAGCCATGGTTTGTTATGATACACACAGTCAAATGCTTTTACTTAGTTCATAAAATACAAATAGACATTCTTGTATTTCTGTTTCCACCAAAGATCCACCTGACATCAGCAGTGATATCCTTTGTGCCAAATGATGAAATATTAATTTTTATTAATAGGATAATTAAGTTTTAAAAAATCAAGAACAAAGTAAAAACTATTTTCTACTTGACAAAGTTGGAGAAATGTGTAATAAATATGATTCTTTGCTCTAGAGAATCATCTTGACTTTGTATATTCCTCTCTCAACATCATCAATACTGAAAAGAAAAAAAAATTAAGGATTAAATGTTGCATTTGTTTTTTCCACTCCTTTCTTCACCCCTGAAATGTTGTTATACTAATATGAAATGAGGTGTTAAGTACTTTAGTAGTGGACATTCCTTATACACGCTTCCCAACAAAGCAAGGACAATACAACCAAGACCAATAATTTAAAACAAAAAAAGCAAACCAAGCAAACAAGTACCAATTCCCCAATAAGGAAGAAACAGAAGTGAATCAATCCATTTTACACACCAAGTGGAGTGCAGATTTATTTGAATTTAAGAATCTCCTAAACAAATTACATCAAACTCACTCCATTTCCTTCCTCAGTAAATTTTATGACTGGACAAGCATCAAAGTTTTAAAATTTTAAAAATAATAGAAAAGTAAAAATAGATTTCCCCCCCCCCCCTAGAGAAATCATTCTCTTAAACATTTCTGCTACTGTGAAATCTTTCTCTTTGGAGTAACTTGGTAGCATAATAATTTTATTTTTAATGTATTTAACTGGATTATTCCAAGGGCACTGAATTAGAACTTCAGCTGAGGTATGGAGGATGAACTTTATGAACAATAGAACTACCTCCACTCTAAAAAAAACCCTATCAATGTAAAATGAAAGAATGGGAACACAGAAACTCCATTTCATCATCTAGTTTAAGTCTTACATTTTAAGTCCGTAGATATTGCCCCATTGTTTAAAAGTAAAAGAACAGAGAATGAAATGAGCACTCTAAAATCATCTGCAGCACTTTTAAGGGTTAAACCTGCTTAACTCATTCTTAGTCAGAGATTGGCACAAAAGAGTGCAGCTCATCCCTTGTGTCTGATTCTAAACCTGCGGTTTCCTTCGTCTGGCAGAACAGTCATGCACTCTACTTCCACCCCCCTCCCACCCAATTAATAGGATCCATTCATAGCTACTCACTACTGCAGGATTTGACCTGAGAAATGCTAGGATTTATTAACTCAGCAGTTGTTTTGAAAAGTCCCTAAAGAATCTTTGCCCTTGACCAGCAAGGGAACTGCTAGTCTCAAGTTCTCAGAAGCAGCTGGTGAGATTCTCAGCCAAGTTCTTCAGATGCAGGAAGTTCTTCAGGACAACCTACTTAAACATGGCCTCCACACATCTTTAAACCAGGCTTCCTGGATCTAGGAAATGGTATTCCTGACTCCTTTGACCCAGATGCCGGCCGAAACTTAGTTTGCATTCTGTAGGTAATTGCTCTTTCTTTCTTCCTAGGAGCTGGCATGGTGGTTAAATTTATCTAAAACAGTCATATTAATATGCTCAAACATCCACTGCTGAGTCTCAGAGAGAGGGTCACATCTGGCCATGAAAATTTTCTTCTCTGCGGGATTGCAATCCATGCAGCTGTTGCTCACAGGATGAAATAATGTTCTGTCCTGGAGGGATCAGAAAGAAAAGACTGACATAATACATAGTGAGTGATTAGAACACAAAATATGCAAAGGAAGTAAGATACCATGTTTATATGCTCGTGATCTAAAAAACAAACCAGCTCCCACATCAAGTGAGAGGATGCTGAGCTGCCAACATGAAATACAATTCCCTGGGCCCTATCGACACTCTGTAGTGCTTTCTAGTAAATTTAAAATATTCCCTCATTCTTTCATTCTTTTTAAAAGAGGAGCTGGTGATCCCTTACCATGTGATAAACATTTAACTACATGCTTTATTTTTGGAGAGAATAAGTATATAGGGTTGTTTGTTGAGTGGCAAGTAATCTTGCAATTTATGAACAGGTACATACACACACAAAAATGTCATAATTCAGTTCACACACACACACACACACACACACACACACACACACATATGAAGGGTCATACTATTCTTTACTTTCATACTGAGCCTCTAGAAGAAAATTAAAATGCAAAAAGGATGGGAATCAAAGATGTTAGGTGTTCACTGGTCCAACTGAGGTAAATATGGGTGTGTATAAATAAGCCATAGGCAAAACCTGACTGTAAATTCAAATTTATTAGCTCCCGTGGTTCTCTTTCTTATCACTCCCTTCACTCCTATTACAGGTCTTCGTGAGGGGCTGTTTTTCACTGCTTTCTGTAAAATGGCGAAGAGTTTAAAAATTCATTTAAAAAATCAAGATCTTTGTTAATCATTATTAATTGCTGTCTGGTCAATTCTGGCAACCAATTGTATGCAGAGCAGAATTGCTCCATAAGGCTACTATTTTCAAGGCTACTGTTATCATAAGGTTTTCAAGGCTACTATTACTTTTAGGGAGCAGACAGGATATGATTGAGAGAGTTCAGCGAATGAAAGATTCTATGAGGACAAAAAGCTCAGCTAGTAATAGTAAAATAGTAACAAATAATAATAGTAATTAATAATAATAGTCTGGTAATCTGAATATACTCTATTAACACACACTATATTATTGTGTTAGTAGGACAAAGGCACTTAATGCTAAGAGAAATAGAGTTTTCCTGAGCTAATAACGCACTCCCATCTCTTACAATGCCTAAGTTGTTTAAAAAAAGTCTTTGTCACCATACTGTAAATTTCACAAAATTGTAAAAAATCACTTTCACTGTTGACATGTAAAAAAAATCCCTTAAATTGTGGCTTAAATGTTAAAATAAGCAGTATTTTCTTTATCTTAGGAAATTTAGCTTAGTTTTAGAGATTCTGGCTATTTTTTCTTCATGTGAAGAATATTACCTTTACCGTCCTTTTAGAATTAAAATTCTTGCCAGCATTCTGGGCAAACAATAGTGGATTGCCCTTGTTTTCAAAGCTTCGTCAGCCAATATTGAATGTCCTTTTTAGAATCAGGATGTTGGATAGTTAGGCACTGTTTGAAAGAAGGAAGAATAAGGAAGGAGAAAGGCAACCTGCCTGCAATTTTGTTTGCATGTTTCTATTTTTAGCGTAAACAAAGAGCTGGGCCTAGTACAAAGGCCCACAATTCTCTTCTGCTCTTTCAAAAGCAAAATTTCCTAAGAATATTGTTGGTTTCTGTTTTCCTTTCACAAAGAATCTTAGGCTCTTAAGGTCACTTTTCCAATTGCTGGCATTTACCAGTTTACCAGTTACCATGGTGACCTTGTAAGTGTCTGAGTAAAATGTGTTTGAGGTGTTTTTGCCCTAACTCTCTGCTTCACTCATGCCCCAGAGAAGGTCTTGAGGTTCTCTCCTAAGCTAAGGTGAAGGTGGGCTAAGGTGATAGTGTGTGTTCTTCCGGTCACTCCACACACCAACAAGGGTGTGACTTCTCCATTAGAGATAACACTTCTTGTTATTCCTGATCTGTCTGACAGCCATCATGACTTCTTGTACAACTGTCTCCTTCACCATATTCCTTTCCTTCTTCTCCCCATCTCTCACTCTCCCTATCCTATCTCCAGCTTCTAATTCAGCCATCAAAACCAGTTGCTGGTAGATTGACTCTGACACCCGGTGTGTGTCAGAGTAGCACTGTGTTCCTTGAGAGTGTTCAATGACTGTCATCTTTCAAAAGTAAATCACCAGGGCCCTTCCTCTGAGGTTCTTCTTGGTGTACTTGATTTCCAATCTTTAGCTTAGCAGCAAAGTACATCAGCTGTTTGTAATCCCTAGGGACTCTGGTTTAGTCATATGGGCTTAATATATTTGAGCCAGCTTATCAAAAAGCATTTTTAAGCTGCAATCGTTATGAAAATTTTATGTAACCAGTTAAATGAGGATTTACTGTGTTCCAAGTGAATTAAGATTTACTTTTCTTTTAAACCTTTTTTTTAAAATTTTGTAGTGGCTTGCATACAAAATCTGTATACACGGTGTCTCATTTGTATACATTGTGTTTTACCCATTCCTTCATGCACCTTTTCTTTCATACTATCATTCCTATAAACTGCATTTTATAAAACCAGTCACCACTGACTGCTCTATGCCCACTATCACCCGTATTTTCAGATTTCCAGTAGATCTTTCCTAATTCTTTGCCCCCTTCTCTCTGGCTATCAGACACTGCAATCCCAAGATTTCCTCCTCTCTGCATCAGCAGCCCCCTCTCTCCCCTCCCTTCTTTGTACTTTTATACACTTCTTGCTAGTTATCATTCTATTTTCAAATTAACTTTTATCTTTTTTCCTTTTCCTAACTTCCTACATCTCTTCCTGTGGTTACTACTACCAGGAGCTCAAGCATCCAGGTGCTCACCATTTCTCCTCCCAAACACAGATTTCCATGAGGGCTACAAAACTGAGAATAGAAAGAGTGGAACATGCTTCTTTTTTTTTTTTAAATTTAGGTTATTTTTCATTTCAATGAACATCTACAGAGATTTTGGGATTCCATTCATTCATTGTTGCACCCTTCTCCCCGCACAAACCCCTCCCCCCTCCCCCCATTTGTTCCTCTCCTTGAAACGCAAAAGAAAAACTCCCTCATTGGTACTGGAATATGCTTCTATGCAATTTCCTTTGCCAGCTTGTATACCTCAGTGTGAATGGGGAAATCAAACCAGTTTCTGAACATTTTAGTTTTTCTGAACCATAAGGTGATCATATTTTTCCAAACCCCAAATTGGAATACATATTCTGACAAATTCAGGTTTGTCATGGGAACAACCAAGCCAGATATGCAAATTCAGTACTACCCTGCAAATTTTTCCCCCTTGTAATTATATCTCATGGTCTCTGAAAAATTGAAGAATTGATTTCTCTAATCTTATCTGTCTCTGAGAAGCTTCATTAGTAAAATGTAAGAGTGGATTAGAGAAATCTCTAAGGCCTCTTTCAGTCCAAGCCCTGAATGGACATTTTATTCCAAAAGCTACTGGTGACAGAGACAAATGACAGGTGTCAAACTAGAGACCATCAACAATGCTTGCGGTTCAGCAGATTGCTTGTTCCCTGCTTACAGACAAAGCTCTCCTCACCCTTGAGTTCAGAGTCACCAGCAGGTTCTGGAGGTCAGGGGCAGATTAAGTAGGCCCCATATGTAACAGCTTGTAGTAAGCAAGGCACACATGGATTAATTGTGTTTACTCTGTCAAAAGCCAAATGAACTGTACAGTTCAGATCAGTAAACTAAATTCAATTAATCCTGTGTATGCCTTCCCTATTGGACAATCAGTCCCTGCCAGGGATGAAGCTTAAAGGAAGCATGTTCACTCTTCTTCAGAGCCTGTAGTTTTCATTTTTTGACCTTGGGAACTATAAAGTAAACATCGTTATGTTTTTACTCAACCAAATTGTTTTCCTCCCTGGAATTAAGTCAGTGGCTCATGTAACTGTTCTCTGAACATGCCTCTTTCTCTTGTAATAATTGTTCACTTCTCTGCCCTTCAATCTCATTGTTTGTGTTACAGAACTAGATAGAGTTTTTGTTTGGGTTAGACTTCTAAGTGCCTTGGTCAGTATGTTGTTCCATAATAAGCCTCCCTAAAGGAAGGTGGAAGACATTCTTTCTTTGCTTCTAACTAGACTGTTCTTTGGTCAGTCCTGAGGGAAGACATATCATATGTTCTGGGTGTTTAATGTGTACTGCAACAAATTGCATTTCTTGTTCTACCTTTTATACTGTCCCTGGCTTCATCCTCACTTTCTGTAATCTTTGAATACTTGAGAAAATTAAAAATCCTTGAGCAAGAAATGCAAAAGTTCAGATGCAAGATTAAAGAACTGGCCTTCACAACCAAATTAGGTCCGCGAATCACCTTAATTTACTGCTCTCTAGTTCAGCTCTAGCTCAAAGTAACCCTCCATCGATACCTGAGGCTGTAAATTTTTATGGGAGAAGACTTGTTCTGTTTCTCCCTCGGTACACTGGTGCATTCAAACTGACAACCTTTCTGCTAACAGCCCTATAGCTCACACACTACAAAATGAGACCCTTAGTACCCATCAATCTGTCCACACCTGAAAAAAAAAAGGTGTGTGTAGGAATTTTCAGGTAGTCCATTGAAAGGAGCACCTCTTCAAAGCAGGCTTGAAGACTCGAGTGGCATCTGTGTGGCACTTTATGGAATTCCCAGGTCTACTCTTAATTTGGTGAGCTGCCATATTTATAAGAAAATCCACTGTTATTGAGTCCAGTCAGACTCACAGGGACCCTATATCAGGATTCTAAGACTGTGACTCTCCACTGAAGGAAACTGTCTAGCTTTCTATAACATGTATGAGGATCAAAGGGGGACAGAGAGGGAGCAGAGGGGTGTGGATGGGTGGGTGGGAGGTGTAATCATGGCAACCCAGGGTTTGATGAGTGAAAGGGGAATGGGTTGGAGAGGTTGGGAGATCCAGTGTGAGGGGAAATGTATACAAACTTTGTAGGTAAACGAGTGTAACATTTAAAAAGAAAATGAATTGCTAGAAATAAAAAATTAAAAGATTCAGTCTTGAAAACATGACGTTGGAAGGTCATGATGAGTTGGCTC